AACAAGGGTAGAGTTGAGAGGGGAAAGATTGAGGGGTTGTTAGGATACAAAAGGGCTCTAAGAATTTTTTTTGCCCATTTGGGGCGTTTGAGGTTACAGTCCGCCAATGAAGACAAAAACACACTTCAATTTGCAATTTGGCGTAAAAGACCGAAGCGATCAGAAAAACGGAGGTTTCGACCGGTGGTGTCACTGTTTAAAGATGTGCTGGTGAAAATCAGTTTTGTAAAAATATAACAATTATACTTTCTTTTTCCATGTAAGAATTCATAAATTATTCGTCGAAGAAGATTTCAATCTAATTATTTTTTATAATCTGTAATAATTTATAATTGTAAACGATTAAAAAATATATATATTCTTTTTCTCTTTTTAATTTATACCTTACAATCAATTTAGATTTTAAAATCACGTCAAAATTCGGGTTTTTTTTTCGATTAAATGAAATAAAATGTTCTATTTTTTTTTTAAACGTCTAAATGATATTATTAAAATCGTAAGAAACGAAAATTTAACCCCAAAAACATATCAACTTCAAATGTTAAGAGATATAAGATGTTACAAATTAGCTTCTTGAGCAATTCGATCATGTAATCAAGTTGGACTTCCAAGACTCAAACAATAATGAATTAAATCTCTTTTCCCAAAGTGACACTCATCGAAATCGCATGAGCAATGAAATTGGCTCCCACCAATTCAGCTTCAAAGGAAAAAAACTCAAAACACGATTGAAACAAACTGATTTGGGCAAGTAAGACCAATATCTCGGCCAATCTGTTGCTTTATGTAGAGTCTCAAAAGATGCTTGACGATCAATACCTATCATCACATCTTCTAATCGTAAATCACGCAAGCTTTGTAGTGTCCACATGACATATCAGAGCTAAGAAATAATGTGATTGGGAGAGCAAGTAAATGCCTCTCGAGCATGAAACAAGACTGCACCCGTACGATCCCGTGCAATCCATGCCCCACCACTATGTAAATACGCATTAAGCCAATTTAAATTAATGTTGCATTTGATAATGCATGGTAAAGATGGATACCAACGAGATGCTCCTTTTGGCTCAAATAATGTCTAAAATACTCTGTTTGACTCAGAGAAAGTATGACGCTATAATGAGATTTTTATTTAAAAAAATACAGAAACGAAGAAATTACAATAAACCAAGCAAAACTAACGAAAAAACAGATCCAACCATGCGTTATCCACCCGTTTTCTGACCCAATCGGGGTCTAAAGCAAATGGAATAAAAATTTAGAATATCCCTCAATTTACCAAACCCAACCAAATCTGATTCTCTCAATCTATCTCGATTCTTTTCGTGATTTCAAAACCGTTCAACCGACAAGGATAACTAGGTTAACTAAATAGGATTCAGATCGAAATCAAGAGTTTGGTAATTTGAAATCGTGTTTTCTTATCGAATTTGTGTACAAATGGGTTTCGATTTGTTGTAGAAATCGCGAACCCTCGAAATCCTATATTCTCTAAGTAATTTTCTTGATTTTACCCGAGATATTGTGCAATGGTGAAGACAATGTGGAGGAAGGGCAAAGGCAAGAAGGAAAAGAAGAAGAATTCGGAGAGGGATGCTCCTCCACAGAAAGTTTTGCCGGACCCAATTCAACCGGTAGTAGAAGATAAGGTCGAAAAAGAAGAAGCAACTATGGTAGAAGAGGAAAAAATTGTGGAGACTGATGAAGAAATAGATTTGGTAAGCGGATCAATGGGTAAAAGAAGAGAGAGGGAGAATCAACATCCCATGCTTAGCTAAACTCATAAAAAGACTCGAGGTGAAAAGATCATCATCAAGAAATTCCAATGGTTCACCATTTATCTTTCATTCTTAGGAACTCATATTTGATCCATAAAAATAATAGAAATTGGATTCAATTATGTATCTCACGATACTTGGTATAGCTAGGGACATTTGTTTTTATATCCTACCACTCTTCAATCAATTTTTCCTTAGTTGGGATTCCAACTTGGGAATATATTTAAAAGTGATTCTAACTTCATGTGAAGTT